AGCACACTGGGAGGCTAAGGTAGAGGGGCAATTTACCAAGACCCTCTCAATACATGAATAAATAAATAAATATTTTTTAAAGGATGGGGGAGCTTGGCTCAGTGCAAAAGCCCTGAATTCAATCCCTAGTAGTAATTCAACAAAAAAAAGAAAGAGAGAGAAAAAGAATGTCAGAACATACTAGTGTGAGGCACAGGCAGATTTATTAGGCAGAGTTAGAAAGTATGGAAGACTCGAGAATGGTCTCCACATGAAGAGCTTTGAACTGCTCCCCCCCGCCTTACAAAAGAATGAGGCCAGCCTTTAGAGATTAGCTGAGGTGGGAGGGTTCTGGGTGATCATCACTTCAGTCCTGGTTTCATTAGCTCTGGAGGAATCCTATGGCTTACGGGGCAGCTGGAGTCCCATGAGATGACTGTGCTTTCTGGGGGTAGGCAGCTTTGGTTCCTCGCATGGGGTAATTGCTCCCATTTGGAGGAAGTGACCTTCCCATGGGGTGGTCTATGCCCTTCTGCTTTTCCTGGAACCCAAGGGATTACAAGTTTAGGACAAAGGTTGGAGACTTCTAGGCATTGCTCAAGGGGAGTCTGGAACTGAACCATAATAGAAGTTGGCAATTGGATGTCCCTGAAAATTACTTTAGTTACTCTTATCTTGGTGGCCTTAGTCTTGAAGGGGGTTGAGATGGACCAGGTAAACATAGGGCTCATAAACCTTGCATTACAGACACTGCTTAAGTGATTAACGTGCCTATGTGCAGAGCTGAACAGAAATCTGCTTAACATCAGTTTCAAGGTAATAAGGGAGACATGTAAAATGAAGACAGAGACACCAAGCTTTGTCCTGCTTTTAGTTACCTACTGGGCATCTGCAAGTCCAGCCTCTAGGTCTCTGTTACAGATCCCCTGTCTCAGTCCATTCCTTAATCTTGAGGGAATTACAGAATTGGCCGATTTGGCTTTGTAAGTGTTCTAGACAGCCAGCAACCTAGCATATGAGAAGGGGACAAGCTGAGTCTTAAGCTTCTGGAATGCCTGTCCCAAATCCTAGGGAGTCGGGTTATGGAGTACAGATATGGATAACCTCGGGTAACTGTGGTCATGCCTTTGAACTATACGCTAGTGAGGTGAGTCTTGGAGGACAGCAGACAAGACTGCCAGAGAAACCAACATTACAATAAGAGGACTGGGACTTTCAGCATCGTCCCGATATTCAACAGCGAGGAACTGGAGAGTGATGTAATCACCAATGCCCAGCAACTTAATGGATCATGCTTATGTAATGAAGTCACCATAAAAACCCTAAACAGTGAAGTTCAGGGCTCAGACAGCTTCCAGGTTGGTGAAGAAATGGAAGAGCTGGGAGGGTGACATGCCCAGAGATAGCACGGAAGCTCCACAACCCCATCTGCCTTGCCCTATGCATTTCTTCCATTTGGTTATTCTTGAGCAATATCCTTTATAATTCACTGGTAGGAATAAGCACAGCGCTTCCCTGAGTTCTTTGAGCCATTTTAACAAATTACTGAACAGGACAGGGATCACAGTGGGGCCCCCTGATTTGTAGCTAGGTGACCAGAAGCACAGGTCACAACCTGGGACTTGCACCTGGCATTACCTCTGAGGACTTAGCACCACATCAACTGTAGGACATACAGTTGATGTCTGGAGAGTTGGAGATTTTTTTTTATTGTGAGGGGAAAACTCAGATTTGGTGTCAGAATTGTTGAGTAGAAGGATTTTTTCTTTTGAGCTTTCTTCCTCTACTGTTTTTTCTGCCTGCCTCTTTTGCTAAGTTATTTATAACAGCGCTCACCAATTCCCCCAAAGACTTATAGTTTTTGTTGCAGACAATAAAGGACTCAAGAAAAACTCCTCAGTGATTTAGTACTCAAGGATCATTTCTTCAGCAATAGGGAAAGGGACAGGGAAGAGAAGCAGGGTTCTAGAGCCCCAAGAAAGAGATCCCAGCTGAAGCCCAGGGCCCCAAGGAGGAGTTACAGGTGAGCCAGAGAGAAGAGGCCAGAGAGCCTGGTGGAGAGAAATCAGCTTTTAGAACCTTTACTGAGAACTACCATTAATTCAATACAAGATATCTAAGTCTCCCTTTCTGGTCAAGACCATCTTTCCCAAAGCTATGAGTACGTGTTTGCTACTATGGTGTTTATGACAAATATGTATGAGAAGAAGTATTATAACACTTTTGGAGCCAAGGGATAGCACAGGGAAAATTCATCTCAGCGATATGTTCCAGGCCAGTGTGGCACAGAACAAATCAGCATATATCCTCCAAGCATGCGTGTCTACAGAAGACGGGCTGGTGGCCAAGAGTACCACCCTACCTTAGCACCAGCCAGCTCTCAAAAGCCCACATCACCAGGGACAGGAACAGCACTCAGTTCTTGGCTTATTCATGCAACAGGGAAACAGAGAATGTCCTATTTTCCTAGGACACACTGGACACACACCAAGTATGGCGATAAGATTATTCTTTTTTCTATGAGGCTGGGATATGCTATATACTGTGCCCAAACAGATTCCAAATATAGCAGTAAAACTCCCTTCTGTTCTCTGGCATCACGAGGAGGTACCTCTTTTCACATAGGGCTTTCCTGTTGGGAGCAATTTCTACGTAAATTTTGAGGAAAAATCATTTCGTAATTAAAGTATGGCTATAGCTGTCTAAGGCTCAATGTTGCCTTGCCTGAGAGCCAGCTATGGCATGGGGAAACATAACTCCATTTGCCTCTGGTCACAGCTGAGGCCTCAATGGTCTGTGAAGCTGTGGAGCTCAAGGTCAAGGTGATACCAGCTGAAGATATCCTGGTTCCTTGAGAACCCAGTAGTAACACAAAAGAGAAAGGTTTCACCCAGGGAGGGGCAAGTTCCTTATCAGCCCAGCTCATCCCACCTACTGAGGTGGGAATGTTCTCCTTTCCCCTCATCACATGAGATTTGCTTGGCACAGGATCAGACATGAGATCACCCCGGCGCAAGTCACCTGATATTCCCTCCGATTATTGTGTGTACCCAATAAATAGTGGCTAGTTCGGAGAGTCTTTGTCTTTGCCCACTCTGAGGCACTGCCTCCTGGCCCTCCATATACTTTGAAATTACACAAGTCTCTAGTGTCTTTTTTTTCCTCTGGCCCTCACCATCCCCCTTTTTAGGTAGTAGGAAGAAATCAGCCTCTGACACTTTCCCATGAATTACTGCTCAGTTCTTCTAATGTCCCATAGGCATAGGTTTGCTACACATGGATAAACTTTGGGAAACAGGTTGCCTTCCAGAAATACTGACCCTCATTTCTTATTCAGAGTTGCTTCATAGTTTTGACTTCTATAGTCTGGAATCAAGAAGGAAAAGGCAAATACTGAGAAATAATAAACCAAGAAGGTAAAACAGTTCTTTCCAGAGGCTGGGAAGAGACAGGATGTGGTATTATTGTTTAAAGTTTTAGTTTTGTTTAAAAAAAAAAAAAAAAAGGTTTTGGGATGGGGATTTAGCTCAGTGGTGCCACAACCTGCCTTGCAAGCACAAGGTCCTGAGTTCGATCCCTGGTACCAAAAAAAAAAATTTTTTTAAGTTTTCATTTTGTGATGCATGCCTGTAATCCCAGCATTCAGGAGGCTGAGACAGGAGGATTGCCAGGAGTTCAAGGCCAACCTGAACTATATAATGAGACCTTGCCTCAAAAAACCAAACAACAAAAAAGTTTTAGTTTTACAGGATGAAAAGCATCATGGAGATGGATAGTGGTGATGGTACTTAATACTACTGCACTATATAAAGATGGTTAAAGCTGGGCGTGGTGGTGCATGCTATAGTCTCAGCAGTTGGGATTGTCATGAGTTCAAGGTCACCCGGGCTACATAGTGAGTTTGAAGCCAGCTTGGACTACAGAGTAAGACCCTGTCTCAAAAAAACTAAAAAAAAAAAAAAAAAAGATATTGAAGATTGAATCCGGGGCCTTCACACTAAGCTACATTACTAGCCCTTTTTAAATTTTATTTATTTTTTATTTTTTGGTACTGGGGATCGAACTTGGGACCTTGCACTTGTGCGGCAGGCAGCAGAACCACTGAGCTAAATCCCTGGCCCACTAGCCCTTTTTTAAAATTTTGAGACAGTGTCTCACTAAATCTCACTAAGTCACTAAATTGCCCAGGCTGGGCTCAAACTTGTAACCCTGTCACATCAGCCTCCCAGAGTGCTAGAATTACAGGTGTGAACCACTGCATCTGGCTTGGGTAAATTTTATGTTATGCATATTTCTCAGAATAAGAAAAACTGAAAGCTGGTCATGGTAGTGCATACCTGTAATCCCAGCACTCTGGGAAGCTGAAGCAGGAGTGCGGATTTGAGGCCAGCCTGGGAAACTTGTCAACTTCGCAAGACCCCATCTCAAAAATAAAAAATATCAATGGGCTGGGGCTATAGCTCAGTGCGAAGCCCCTGGGTTCAATTCCTAGTACAAAAAAAAAGAGAGAAAAGAAATGAAAAAAAGTGAAAGGAGTAGGGCAGATGGATCCTCTTTGTTCATTCTTCCATAATTTGCCTACTGGTTTCAAAGTGATCCCTAGTGATCGGAATGATTATTTCCTTCCCTTTAGTTTGATAAACACTGGGTGGGGCGGAGAATGTGGGAGAAAGAACAACAGCGGGAAAGTAAGGTCACTTAGGGGCAGAGATCCAGAAGGCCAGGCTTGTTTTCCAAGGGATGTGTACCAAGTGTGCTGTTGGCAGCAGGAGAACGGGAGATGAGCTCAGCTGCAGGTGCCATCCGGGGGTGCAGTGCAGCAGAGACACAATGTGGGCGGCGCATCAAGGTGAGGGCAAGGTCGGTAGAAGGGAGGCAGAACTGGCTTCAGCCTGAAAATTGTTCGTGCAGAACTAGCTCCCCCGCCCCCCCCCCCATGTAATCCGTGCAGTTGTTCTAACCATCCTCCCTGGGGCCAGCTCAAGCTTGCATTCATAGTTCTTCCAAGAAAAAACACTAGCAGAGGTTAAATGACCCCATTTGAGGGGGTTTTATTGTTGTAATTATTAAACATGCTAAAAATCACAGAGTAGCTGTTCCATTTTGGCCCTGACTCCACAGTGGGGCAGGTGGGAACTACAGGGATGGCTTGGCTCGTGCAGCCTCTGGGGGTGGCTAGAGTTGGTGGTTAGAGGTAGGCAGATTAGCAAAGCTCCAAGGATCCTTCTTGTACTATGCTTTTACTGCAGTAACCCATGGCTTTAGAGATCTCCCCATTCTTGACTTTTCTTTCTTCTTTAAATCCCCACTATATGTCATTTCCCTGCTTATGGCCCCTGGAGCCTCTTCTGCCTCTGCCTGCTATGGTCTTAGACTGGATGGTGAAGGAAAGTTTTCCTTGCCTCCCTCCATGGGAACTAAGCTGCTCAGCATGCACTAATGTGGTAAACTGCTTGGTTTAGGTCTGCCTGGGGCAAAGGAGGCTCCAGACCTCAGTGTGACTTTGATCCTAGGAAGGAGGTTGGAGGTGGTAGTGCAGAAGGATCTGAAAGGGAAAGAACATCACATGAAGTGTCACATGAAGTCCTAATGGCAGGCAGTGCCTCTGCCCCACCCTCAGGCACCCTACTCTAAAGGCTTCCCCTCTTTCCTACATTGGTGGTGGCGGTGGTGGGGACAGCTCAACCTCAAAGCCTCTTGTGCTCCAACCCCACAGGGCCAGCCTAGATACTCAGCCCAAGGAGACTGATTCACCCCTAGGCAAACAGCTCCCAACTGAAGTCTTCATTTTCTCCTTGTTCCTTGTACCTGTACTGCTGTGATGGCTTCAGAATGCCAGAGAGAAGAATATAGAAAGGTTGACTTTGCCTCAGTTAGAGGCTAGAGGGACAAAGGGCCAAGATACATGGGAGTCAGGGCTGTGGAGAAGGGGAGAGAAGGTAACAGCGTGAAGGGCAAGGCTGGCCATTCAGGAGCTGGGGTCCTTTTTCCTTTTCTGGAATCGCCGGAACTTGCCCTGAATGGCAAGTGCAGCCTTCTCAGTCTCTGGTGCCGTTAGATCGATGTCAATCTCCTCCTCCTCCTCAGCCTTCTTGGCGTTGCCAGCCTTCCCTGTGGATGGTTGGATACACACTGATAAGCCACCCTGCCCACTCGAGCACTGTTCCCCGGGCCCCAAATACAGTGGTTAAAGTCCATTTTGTACTCTATTCTGGGGACCCCAATCTTTGCTAGGACCATGAATGTCTGATAACTCTTTTAGACGTTTGAGTCACAGTTCTTATGCTGGGAACTAGCTACAGTTACCTTAGGAGGCTTTGCTATTTTGACAAATGTCTTCTATTACCTTTTATTCCTAAATCCTACAGTTCAAATCCCAAAACACACTCACTTTTCCCAGCTTGCCCCTAATTTCTGATGGAGACAATGACTGAGATTATCTGATGAGTTTCTTCTCATCATTGTACTGGCCTTCCCCAACCATTCCAGTCACACTAGCTTCTAAAATAGAAGAGGAGGGCTGGGGATTTGGCTCAGTGGTTCCATCGCCTGCCTCAAAAGCACAAGGTCCCAAGTTCGATCCCTGGTACCAAAAATAAATAAATAAAATAGAAGAGGAAATACTGAAAGGTTTACTTTTTAGAAAAAAGTGGAAAGATGCTTATAGATATAGTAGTTATAACCTAACCCTTTTGTTTCACTTATCCACATTCTTATTCCTCTGACATCTGACTTTTGGTGATTACAGACTTACATTCCTGTTTATCTTCATTCCCCTAACTTCACAGTCTCCATAAACTGCCTAGCCCAATCCTACTCACCTTTTTCTTCTGGGCTGGATGTCTGGTTGGTTGCTGGGGATGTTTTGGTGTTAAGCTGGGGGGAGAAATCAGAATATTTATTAGATATTATCAGGTTCCATGTCCTTAGACACTGTCCTATAATTAGGTACATTCTCTTAGTCTTTTGAAGAAGTAAGTCTTGAGATCATGAACAGAAGAAAACTCCTCAAAAATCATTCAACAAATATTTACTGGTGCTAGGGAAATCAGAAAGGACAAAACAAAGAAACCTGGCCGTTGTGGAGCTTATTCTAGTGTATTTTCAGGCAAATAAGTAAATAACATGACTACAGTGTTAGGCGGTGACATCTACGATGGAGAAAAGGCAGAGAAGGGAGGTAGTGAGTGTAGGGGTGGAAGGGGAGAAATCGAGTTTTATACAGTTGTCAGGAAAAGCCTATCTGAAAGGTGGTATTTGAGCAAAGAACTGAAGGAGATGAAGTAAAGGCTGTGACAAGTGCTTCCCAGGGCTGGGTGAAGATATGATTAGCTTGTTTAAGGAACAACAAGCAGAAGGTATGGCTGGAGTAGAGAGAAGAAGGAGGAAAGATGCACGCAGGGGAAATCAGAGCTAACTAGGGGTGGGGTGTATTTTCTATGCACCAAAAGTGTACAGAAGAAGCAAAAGATTCATTCAACAAGTATGTCAGGGCCTAATATATACTATTCTAGGGACTGAGCATATAGCCAGAAGAAAAAAAAGTCGTTGTATGCATTAAACAAACATGCAAGTTAATGACATGCTATGAAAGAAAATAAAACCAAGTAGTCTTGGAAAGTGTCTCTGAAGATTGACCTTTGAGTAGGGGGCTTTAATGACCTATAAGAGCAAGCCACAGAAATGTCTGGGTGAAGAACTTATGGGCAGATAAAATAGGAAGGAGAACATCCCTGAGGCAGGTCTATGCCTAGTATGTTTACGGAACAGTAAGAAACCATCATGACTGGCGCTAAGTAAGGGAGAGATTATTAAAAATGAGATTGGGGGGGCTGGGGATTTAGCTCAGTGGTACCGCACCTACCTTGCAAGTGCAAGGTCTTGAGTTTGATCCTTAGTACCAGGGGAAAAAAACCAAAAAAACAAAAAAAACAATGGGATTGGGAAGATAACCAGAATGTACATCCTTGAACCTGGGCAAAGAGTGGATTTTTGTCTAACTTGACAGAAAGTCATTAGAGGTTTGAGGGCAGAGGAAAACAGGCTTGGACATGTTTTTCAAGGATTCTGTGATTGACAGGTAGAGAATAAACTATAGAGAGACAAGAAGAAACCAGGGGAAACCATTAGGATCGTCTTGCAGTGATATCAACTAGGATGGTACTCCTAGGATGATGATAGAAAATATTCAGACTTCAGAGAAGTTTCATGGTAAAATAAGCTGGATCTATGGCACATTTGTTGTTACAGAGGGCTGTAGGAAAGGACAGCAGAGGAATTGGATAGTAGTTGGGAGCGGATGTGGTCTCATAGGAAGGTGTTTGTTAAGATAGGAGATTTAGTGTATTTGAATGATGATGGAAATGATTTAGTAGAGAAGAAAAAACTGATCATGGAATAGAGAGAGAATAATTACCCAAGGGATGTCTTGGATAGGTAAAAGAAAATGAACCTTGTGTATAGGTAGAAGGGTTAGCCTTAGACAGAAATAGGGAAAGACAGGGCCGGGGATTTATCTCAGTGGTGCCGCCACCTGCCTCAAAAGCGTAAGGTCCTGAGTTCGATCCCTGGTACCAAAAATTAAAAAAAAGAAATAGGGAAAGATCATCTACATTATAGAAATGAAAGTATAGACTGGACACAAGCACAGTGGCAGACTGTGGGAATGCCTAGAGGCCCTCTTCTAGTTATGTTTTCTCAGTGAAAGAAGGGCAGTTGCCAGCTGAAAGTGAAGAAGGGCTAAGAAGTGTTAAAGACTTGAGAGGAGAGTGAAATAGTCATCTAAGAAAGTCAGAGAGTGAGTGATGGAGAAATAGAGCAGGTCTATGGCTATGGATATAAAGGGCAACCAATTAAGATAGTGTTCTTTTCTTCCAGGGTAAGTGGGGTGATAAGACAAGTACAAAACAATATTCATTGAGCATTTGTTGTGTGACAAATATTATCCAATTTAATCTTCTAAATCTCTGAAATAGCACCCTCTTTTATAGTTGAGGAAGCAGGCTTAGAGTGATGTTAAGGCTCTTGCTCCAGGTCTAGACACATAAGTAGAAAATAGTGGACCTAGCTTTGACACCGAGGCAGAGTGACTCTTACACCATCAAGCTGTACTATCCCTGCAAGACCAAATACTGTCATTGTTACAAACACGTGAACGTGTCAACAAGCACTGAATCTAAATGGAAAGCATATCGATATGTGTTGAATTATCCTTTCAACTCTAGTAAAATTTTATAATAAAAAGGAGGAAATAGAAATAAAATTATATTTTTAAAAGGCCAATAGCATGGTGTATTTGACATAGGAATGTGTCTTACATAGGTTATAAGCCAGGCACAGTGGCACATGCCTGTAATTCCAACTTCCTGAGAGGCTATGGCAGGAGGATTACAAATTCAAGGTCAGCCTGGGCAGCTTAGCAAGACTATCTGTCTATCAAACAAGATACATCATGTAAAGGTACAAGATCCTAATGATGAATGTAACTATATTGTATACCTAAAATGTACAAATAAACTTAATCAAAAAATAATAAAAAATTTTTAAAACAAGACAATCTATCTATATTCTATCTATCCATCTATCTATTTATCTGCACTTTTTTTTTTTTTTTTTTTTTTTTTTAATAGTAATTCTGACTGGGTAAAATGCTATCTTTTGTAGTTTTGTTTTTTTTGCAGTACCAGGGATTGAACTCAAGACCTTGTGCTTGCAAGGCAGGGGCAGCACCATTGAGCTAAATCCCCAGTGCTCTATTTATTTACACATTTTCACTTTAAAATCTGGAAGAGCGTATACAAAAATGTTCTTGAAAGGCAATGGAATTCTTGCTAGTCTGTCTTTGACTGAAAGAAAGCTTCCATACCAGGGAAGTTTGGTTTTTTTGGTTGTGTTTTTTTTTGGTGGTACTGAGGATTGAACCCAGGGCCTTTGCACTGAGCTACCTACCTCCCCAGTTCTTTTTCTATTTTGAACAGGGTCTTGCTAAGTCATTCAAATTTGTGATCCTCCTGTCTCAGAGTGCTGGGATTACAGGTGTGCACCATATATCTGGCTAGGATTATTCCTAAGTCTCTTGGGAGACTGGTCCAATTACTACTTTTTCTCTCTGTGATCTCCTTGGGGTCAATTATTTTTATTTTTTGCACATGATCCATATAGTAGCCCAGAAGTTACAGAGATGACACTTTCCACTATGGCATTCTGTCATCATTAAGAGGTTTGTCCACACTGCAAAAGTGTGACATGGATGGGGTGTGCAGTAACAGGATAACAGCCAAATGTCCTGACAAGTGAGTCATGAGTCAAGAGGCAACTTCTACTATTCCAGAGGCGAAGGAAGGAGAATAACAAGTTTGAGGCCAGACTGGGCAACTTTAGTGAGACCCTGTCTCAAAACAAAACAAGCTGAGGATGCAGCTCTGTGGTAGTGTTTGCGTAGCATGTGTGAGACCCTGTGTTCAATTCCCAATACCACAATAGGGGGAAAAAAGAGGCAAAAACTATAGTCTCATGACTTCAAATCCTACCTTCCTCTACTGTCAGCAAACCCACAACCCTGATCCTTCCTTTAACAATCATCCTTCTGTCTGTCTCTAACCAAGTCTGTTCCCGAATCCATCAATTCTCCATCACCCGACCTGCTCCCCTTTGAAAGAAAATCTAGACTCCATTTTAAATATCTCCCTTCCGATGGCTAATTTCTCAATTTTGATTTGTGTATCAGCAGACCTCAAGAATCCTCTAAACAGGAGTAAGTGTCAGGACCAGGCACAGGGCTGCCGCATTCCCTCTGCTCTGCCAGCTGCCCCCTTCCTTGCCCTCTACCCAGATTACTGACCCCGGAATGGAACAATGACCCAGATGCCATCTGATTCCCCAGGAGTTTCCACTCCATTTCAGTTAAATTTATGGAAGGTCATAATCTAACAGATTCAGATCTCCACAGGGGAGACCAGAAGAGGGTGCTTTAAGGAGAAGAAAACCCCTATTAAAACACCCCCTTGAAATCTCCCTTGCACCTTCTGTTTTCTTTGGGGGGGTACCGGTGTTCAAACTCGGGTCCTTGCGCTTGCGCAGCGGCGTTGAAACCACTGAGCTAAATTCCCGGCCCGCTTCTGTTGGAAAGTAATGTGCTAGAGCTTCTCTCTCCTCCCCCTCCTCCCTCCACTCTCACTAACTAGTTCTCAAAATAGCCAGTGTGGACACTGGATTTCTGGATTTGGTTATTTGTGACTTGCTGAGGTTGGGGGTAGGGACAGTTAGGTCACAAGTTGTTGGCTCCCATCCTCTGTATGGTCCTCAGTCCTTCCCTGATCTCTGACCTCTGCCTCAACCCTCCTGTTTATTTTCCAGAAACTCAGCCATCGCAGATAAATCAGGGTCCTCTGATATGCCCAACTACAAGCCATTAAACTACCATACTTCAGGTAGGCATGAAGGCCCACATCCTCTCTAGAGCACCTCTTACCAAAACTCACACTCCACAGGAGTGGTGCCCAACTCACAAGAGCTGCAACTTTTCCATGTTTCTCAGCCTCTCTCAGGCCCCATCTTGGCAGGTACAGATTACAAACCTCTCAGGTGCTTTTCTGCTCCTTTCAATGCTGCATTTTTCTGATCAGAAATAACAACAGTGAAATGGTTCAGCAAAGCCTTTCTTCTTGTAGGACCTAACTAGGGGAACTGAAAAAAGTCAAGGACTTCAGAACGTTACCTCACCTCATTTTATTAATAATCACCTATCTAATACTATGTGCTAGTGACTTCTAAGCACTTTAAAAACACACACTGAATCATGACAACAGCCCTGTAAAATTGGTATTGTTATTTTTCTCATTTTAAACTGAGGTCAAGAGAGGTTAGTTGGTTTTTTT